TTTTTAACATTTGTATGCAAGAATAATTAGAAGTAAAACCATCCATTTGTTCAAAAATGCCCATTATTTCACATTAAGAGTATTCATATGGGAACATGAATTATGGCAATTATATCAGCAGGGTTACACTGGACAGCTTTCCCTATGATAGATCAAATGTATGTTTTATCACTTCTTCTTAGGGCTGCAAAGGAAATAATAAACAAGTAAGGATTTAAAAAGGAACAGGACATGAATTTGAAGGACAGAATAAATAATGCAGTCCCAAAAACAAATCCATGTAGGATGCCCACAAAAAAGTTTTGGAAATGGAAGCAGGTATAGGCAATGAAATGTTTAATTTGATAAATATGTCAGGAAACAAAATCCTGCAGTTGGGTTTATGGACAGAATCATAAGCTCACACTTCACACAGGAGGAAATTGAGACTATTTCCTCATTTGAAAATAAGTAGAGCTTGTCAGATTTTAAATTCTGTAACTTTTAATCATTTCTAAAATTAACCAAAACGCACATTGGAAAATTCTCAAAATCAAAATCCCTCTCCTTTTAGTTTTGAAAATAATTTATTTCTCAAAATAAAATCACATGGATAAATCAAAAAGCCAGATATCCCACTGTCCATTCTGTAGAGATTTTGCTAGTGTCCTCCCCTTCCAAGAATCAAAGTCAGCTCTTTATTCTGCCACACTGTATTATTTAATTTCATTAATCACATAATGGGTGGCAATTACTTAGTGTCACATAATGCTCTACTTTTAGTGCTACCAAAGTGGCATTACATTGTAGTTTAGAAGTTATATTTGTCAGAGGGCAATTTATGATGGCTCAGAGTTTTCCATTTATTTCTGAATGCCTTGTGGAACCTGTGAGGCCAATAACAAATATTTTATTAGTGCATTCTGAGGATTTCCTAGAAGTATATAACTGTATTTAAATTATCTATTTGAATCTCCTCTCTTCAGCAAAAGCCGATTTTATGGCCACATAAATATTTTTCCCTACATTACCATCCGTGAATGGGCAGAGTAGTCAGTCTCTGTGGACAGCATTTCTCCAACAGGTGCATCCTTTGTGTATGCCTAATGCTGCCTTTGGCATATTAGAAAAATCAGTATTTAGCAGTGAGATTGCCAGAGATCACTCTTAAGTTATGTGATCTGTATCTGCACACATGCAGGGAGAGACAGAGACACCAGCAGGTGGGGGAACCTAAATAATTCTCTGCCGTGGCTACTCCAGGAGGCACCAGAGGAACCACCATCCCAAAAAAGACCCATTTCTTCACACAGGAAGGAGCCCCAGGACACAAGGGCAGGTGGGGGAACACTGCTAATGTCATCAGGGAAATGAGATCTCTCCCTAGACTGTCCCCAGGCTGTCACAGGGGAGCCTCAGCCCCATGGGCCGAGCCCACTATAACAACACCACAGGGGAGCAGCTGCCTGGAGCATCTCCCACTCTGTAGGGTGTCACTGCTGGGGATATGGGATGCAGGACAAGAGTAACTTGGGATTGCACAAAAATGTGTCACGAGGTACTTAAGGGAGGAGGAGACACAGGCAGGAAAAGGGAGGGATACAGGCCAGCTACTGGGTACACTAAGTCTGAGGATGGCTCCTAGGGGGCCTTAGTGTGCCCCCCCATTGTGTGTGTTGGGTGTCCGAACATGTGTCCATATCCACAGCCTGAGTGGTGCTGCAGCCTCAGCGCTCCTATGTCCATGTGCAAACAGCTGGGATGCAGGGAGCAGCTACAGGGCAGACTGAGTGCCTGATCCAGGTGCTCACTGAGGATAGCCATATGGTGTATGGATATCCTCATATATGTATATGAGGATATATCTATATATTTACGGTGTATATGCACACACATATATTCCCACTAACAGATTTTCACCCTGGACAGCCAGAGGGGAGGAGGGTGAGGCTGTTGGTGCAGTTTGTGTTTCTGTTAGTGCTGTTTGTGTCTGTGCTGGTCTGTGGGGGCAGCTGTGTGTATATGTTTATGTGTGTGTTCTATAAAGGTGTTTGCAGGCATGAGGTATTGGGAATACAAGTCCAGTCTGGCTATTAGTTGGACCTAAGGGCGCAGAGCTGCAGCAATCTCCCCTCTGTTGAGCTACTGGATTTGGAAAGACTAACCAATGACCAAGAATTGAACTTGCAGAGTCAAAATACCTAAGAGCTAGAAAATGTAAGATTGTATGGACTGAACTATTGTATTAAATTATATCCCACACTAACTTCCTCTAGAGCTTCATGTCATTAACTACAGTGGTAGTTTTTTGGAACATCTTTCACTCTTCTCATTCAATACGTAGCTCCAACTCAGGAAAAGGAAAACTATTAGTTTGTCAAGGATAGTTGAGAACATAGCTAACTATCAAGGACAGCTAATACAGTCCTTAACAAACTGTCATGAATCTGCTTTGTAGCCTTGCCAGAAAAGGAAATTGAAGACTATATCACAGAATCACAGATTGGTCAAGGTTGGAAGAGACCTTAAAGATCATCTAGTCCAACCATCAATGTGGTCCAACTGACACCCTTCAGACTTGCTATGCAAACACAAAAACTATCACTTATAGCTACATTTATTAAATTTTGAAGAGACATTTTATTTTCTACAAGGGCAGAAGAACCCAGAGATGATGAAAATTAAACTACTTATTTTCAACTAATGGATATAGAATTTGCAACTCTGCAGATTGCCCTTATCTGCAGAGTCACTGTCACAATCTAGAAAGGAGACACAGGTGATCTGTGAATACAGAAATAATGCAAATGACTGAGACTGCTTCTTTTCTATGAAGAAGGAAAAATCTGAACTACTACCAACAAGAAGGAATTACTGGTCTTCATATTCACAAACACCCTTTCACCAGAATCTTGGCTACACAGTCCTATATTATCTGAAATTATTTGAAGAAAGGGTCTCACACATTATTACACCCAAAATGCTCTTTACTATCTAAAAGCATTATTCTAAACATTTATTTCACATTGCCTATGCCCTTGTGAAATAACACTTCTAATAACTTTGCAAAGAGGTGCATTTAACTATCACTCCCCTACCCTGAAATTTTGCTCAATGAGGCCTGTCCTAAACAGGCTCAACTCCCAAGGCTTTTTGCCAGCCCTCTCTGCATCCTAAGTTTTCATCTGTGCCTGCCAAAAGGTTGATTTATTTGGGCATAATAATTTTTTTTGTGTGCGTAATCACTTTTCTGTAAGCAGTCATAAAGACTTGTATATAGCACTCAATTTACCTTGGCATCTGTTTTTAAGGGGTTTTTTAAAGACATTTTAATGTAATTTTTATGTCATTTTTAATGCGCAAAAGAGCCTTCTGATAGTTAGGATGATACAAATCTGGCTATGACACAAAATATGGAGTGGATCTCCTGGCAGCCTTGATTTTTGCTCCCTATCTTCCCCATCCCTTCCACAGCCAGGAACAGTTGTGTTCAAAGGGCTAAATACCAGTTGTGTACTTGTGGCTTACCTTAAACTCTTCTGATGGCTTTGGTGCAACAAAGGGCAAGCACAGAGAGAGGCTCCCACACTCTGTGCACATACCCAGAGATGAAAGTCTCTGAGAAAAGGCCAGTTTTAAAGCCTTGTTCCTCCTGCTCTGTGTATGACTATACTGCTACACTTCAGCAGGGGATAAAGAGGCAGTGTCTCTGACCGTGTAAAATCTCTGAGTTCTTGCTTTCATTTCCCCTTGTCCACAGCTTTTTCCAGAGACAAAAATAACTCTTATTCTAAAGCTCATCTTACATGCAACGCTAAATGGGCTCTCTCCTATGCAATGAACAATGCTGAAAATACTCTCTCTGGCCATGAGAGTATCTACTGAAAATGCCCATTAATAGCTTACTTGTTCTTCTCCTTCCATTTCACTTTAGAATGAAAAAAGGAATACAAATTCTCCATATCTGTATCCCTCTCAAAGTCCAGTTACGCCCCTTTCCTATTCCCTTATCTTCCTCCCCACAAATTATCAGATAGAAAGAGTGTGTGGTGAATTCTGCTACTCTTACCTGCCCTGAGCAGCACTGGTTCCCACTGCTTGTGGCACAAGAACATAGGTAACCTTTATACTAAGATGCCCGGGACTCTGCATCTTTCTCTTAGGTTGCAACTTGTTTCCTCTCCATTTTTGTCATTACCACTCCTGAAATAGCGGGAGGTGCTCTGCACAGGGTGAGCAGAATGAGTGCGCATCCATGATGAGGCAGCGGGAGCAATCACTGCTACTCTGTCACCTTCCTGTTCACCAGGAGTTGTTTGGTTTTTTTTTTTTCTCCCTTACCAGGGATCACTTCTGATTTCATTAGTGAGACAGTAAATGAGCTAAGTCCTAATAATCAGCCATCAGTCCTGCACCTCTGTACTCATTTGGAACAACTGATCAGGGAAAGGTGCCAGTGAAAACAAGCAGTGTGCGAATTAAGCACCCAGTAACAATGAGTGTAGGGCTCGAGAACGATTTTGATGTTCTTATCTGTGTTATCACATCTGATAACAATCACACCAACATCTAGGGGACAACATCCTTGCTCCTCTGAAAATCCTGAGGACCCATGAAATCCGAGTAATCTCTAAAGGATAATTCTGTTCATAACCACCCCTCCCAAAATGTTGCCGTAAAGTTTGTTACATTTTATTACAATGTTCTATTATCTCTATAATCACTGAGGGCATCGTTTTGCCAAGATCCTTGCCTCACTACAATAATCAGCGGTGCATTGATCTCCTCGCTGCACCGGCCTTTATCTCGCCAAGTCAGTCTCCCTCGGCTCTCTCTTTCCGATGTTTGCCACCGATGCCTGCGGCGCTGGGGCAAGGAACATTTTAAGCCCTTTGCCTTCAAGTGCCACCCGCAGGGGAGGCGAACACTGCAGGCGCGCCGCCCGCTGCCCCCCGCAGGTGCGCCCCGCTCGCCGCTGGGGGCGGCCGCCACCGCATCCCGCCGGCCTGGGAGGAGCGGCAGCGGGCGCGGGGAGGCGCCGGGCGTCCTCGGGCGCGGGGAGCGGGGGCCGCGCTGACGCCGCTGCGCGCCATGGCTGTCGCCTACCTGCTGGGCAACGGGTCCGCGCCGCTGCTCGCCGGCGCCCTGGAGGTCCCGTTCGCCGCCAACGCCTCCGCCTGCCGCCCGCCCGGGCCGCCCTGCCCGGCCTGGGGCAACGCCTCGGCGGCGCTGGGCTGGAACCGCTCCGAGCCCTGCGGCGGCGGCAATGGCAGCGCGGGCGGCGGCGGGCCCTGCGCGCCCGCGGGCGGCGGCCCCTCCGTGGTCACCGCCATCGCCATCATGGCCCTCTACTCCGTGGTCTGCGTCGTGGGGCTCTTCGGCAACTTCTTGGTCATGTATGTCATCGTCAGGTGAGTGCCGCCCTGCCCCGCCCCGCAGCCCACGGCCTCTGCCGTCGGGGCGGAACCCCGCCGCCCGGAGCCGGGATGCGGGACAGTGTCCGGACGGGGATGCTGCGCTCCCCTCCGCCGGGCAGCGCGCGGAGGGACGCACTGAGGGGTGCGGACGGGCGGCGGTCTCCGCGGGAAAGGGAAGGAGGCTTTTGATAAAAAGTCGGAGCGGGTGACGGTGGAAGAGAAGCTTGCGGTGGAGCAGTGAGGGGCGGCCGGTCCGTCAGAAACCGCTGCCAGTCCGAGCATGTTCTAAGGACCCTCCGAGCTGCCCACCTCTGCGGGCGGCTCTGGCAAACGGGGCCTGAATCCCGGACTTTTCCCCTAAGGAGCGAGGATTTAAAGGGACTGTAGCCGCTGCCTGTGAGCGTGTACCGGTGCGGGGTGGTGCGCGGATACGGGGTGGTACACGGATAGCCGGTACGCATCCACCTGTCCCAAAATGCACGAACAAAATGTAAATGGCACCGCGGTTAAACGCTTCTCTGTGGCCGTGTTTGGAGGTCCTCTGCCTCATGTCTAGGTCTATATGTGTATATTGAAATTAATTTATATATCTGTATAGACATACATGCGCATACACGTGTATAAATAGGTATGCCGTGATCGCGACCGCTTTCTGGAATCCCGGCGTTCCGACCCTGCTCCGGTACTTCGCAACTTTCTCGCCCGCAAGAGAAAAAGCCCCCAGTGGGGTGTTGCAGATCAGATCACGCGCGATAAAGCCATTGCCCGTAAATGAGCCGAAAACGAGCGAGGGGGAGATGAGAGAGGCTCCCTTGCCGGCCTGGCAGCGGAGCTGGGCAGGTGGCTTCCGTGGGGGAACACTGCCACCTCCCGGGAGCGACGGGCCGGCAGCGGGACGGCGGGGCGCGACAGGACGGGGCCGACAGAGCTCATCTCCCTTCCTGGCTGCTCGTCCATCGAGCCCTGGAGAGCCCAGCGGGCGCTTTTAAGGGGGGAGATAGGGGTGGCCCAGGGGCGCGCTCCGTTCCTATCAAGGCAGCCCCAGCACTTCCATTTCCACCCCCCCCCCCCCCCCCCCATTTCCCCCCCCCCCGCCCCCCC